ATATCATAAAAATACAGGTCGGCTCTATTCCCAAGTATAGCAAACATCCTTTTAAAAATATTTAAGTAGTATTACTTATTTTTAAAAGTCAATATCTCCATGAAGAAAAATATTCCATCTACATTATTCAAAGTACTTTCTCTCCGTGTCGCATACCCGTGGGATACCCTGTATATGAAATAATTTAAAATAATAATGTGGCATGAATGCAATGAACCCTTCACCGAGGTTTTACTGTTGTATTAATTAATATGCCATTAACTGTACTTAGACGGATTTACGAGTACCTCGGAGTCTGTAACTTTATATTGTAATCTTACAGTGTTAATACAGAACAGCGAGCTGAGTCCCATGCAAAGAACAATTAACCCGGCGACCAAGTATTGTTCGACGAAGCTGTAATAAACAATAGCAAATTAAAAGCAATTTCTGATCAGGGTCTTTTATTAATCCATAATTGTAGCGTTACTTACACTAATTTCACCCTGTATTCGAAGATAATGTGCAGCACTGTTTTAAATAAAACTGCAGCTATGACGATGTACGAAAAGGTTAAGCCGGAAAATAATGTTGCAGACCTGAAACGAAGATTCTCAGTAGAAATTCAATGTTTATTACAGAGCACGCCTTATTGACTTTATACTCACATGAAGTGCGAATAGTCGCCGCGCGACGTACATTTCGAATACATAGGTAAAATCCATAACGAACCTGTAAGTAAGCAAGTTAATATTTGTGACGATATCGACAAAAAGATGCTGAAGATTATGTGTGTGTAATCATATAGTAGATTTTCTTTCTAAGGATTCAATGGCTTCTGAACATAGACATATTTCCTGCCCAAGTTTCGTTGACTTGTACGCCTCATAATGTAAAGTGGTGCTAATTTCCCCGAATAATTTTCAATGACTACAAAAAACTGTATGGGAATGCCTTGAGAATAATACCAAATCTCGGTCCCGAGCATCTGATGTGTATACACAATTATAATCTAATAAATCATTTATTATTTGAAACTTACTTTCTCTAACATTATTGAGTCCGATAACCTGGACGTAGTCTGTAATGGCGCAGATAGCTGCGCCAGTAGTATGCAGCGCAGTGACGATTAGTACAAAACTGGAGAGCCACACATTTTCGCTGTTCAGACTAGGGTCTATGTGCCCGTGAGCTGTGAAATTATGTTAGAGTACAGTTTTCAGTTTAGCCTTTTCATAAATCTTCTTGATATAAATACAAAATAAATAAATTATGCATGTTATTGCTGATACGTTCTAATTAAAAACTTGCTACACAGCACCTTCGCCCCCGGAGTCACTTTTATCCTATCGCAAGTGGAGGATAGGTACATAAGAAAACAGTTTTATACCTATCTCGAACTACGGTGATACCGCGATAAATTCACTACACTTTTTGATCTGTTTTATTTCATCGTATAAATCAATTATAGATATGCATTTATGCGATATTTGACTATTTAATATATTAACGGTATTCGGGCAACAAATTGGTATTTTAAACACGATTAGAATACAATATTCTCTCGACAGATTAAAATTCGTAAATAATCTCTGCTAGGTCTTTTACCATTTTATTACATTACAGAATGAATATACCTACATAGTTTTGTTTGGTTGGGTTACAAGTAATACTTAGGTAATTTCTTTCACAAGAGCTGAGCCAGTTAACTAATGGAAATTATTCCAAGCTTGCGTGCATAGTTGTCATTGCACTTATTTGTAACTGGAAACTATTTGTCATTTATATCAATCTTTTGTTAGTATATGTTCTTTCCGAGGTACCACCGTAAGCGCAACAGTAATCTCGAACTGTTATTTTTATTGACATCCAATACACCTATACACTTCACGTTTTATATAAATAACAGTCGTCTTTCTACATTCTTTCTAACTCTTAATTAATCACTTATCATCTGAATAATCTCTTATTCATTGATCATCATCAATTCACTAGGGTTTCGGAACATATTAGTAAGTCACATCGCAATTATACAGGAATCAGTGTTACCAACTTATATTTAAAGTTATCATTGCTTTCACCAATGAGTTACATAAGCTTTTTAATAAATGAAGCGTCATTTTAGCATTCTGGGATGGATGTCTATAGATGCTCTTTGCAGATACTAGTTGTGAGAGTACATTCTTCCGTAACCTACATCTGTGTAATCGACATTATTGTCTTTCTCTGTGTTCCATTTATGATCATCATCTTACTGACTTCTAACTTTTAGTCTCACTAAAAAAATAAATTCGGACCTAGGTGAGTTTCACGAAACTAACTAACCCTATTTCATTCTGTAGGTAGTAAGTATTATTTCACATCTAGAAACATGTATGTCCGCCAAAGTTAAAAATACGAAAGACGACACTTTTTCTACATTTAAATATAATTGGAGCTCTTATGACCCCAACTAAAAATCTATTCGTCTTTCAAACTTGTAATTTCGTTTATCAAATAATGCATTTACAATTGTCGAAAAGTTCGCGAGATATTGAAGTCTGAATATTGCTACTTTTAACACTTTAATTGAAGTTGATATCAATTAGGGCCTCCATTTTTGCACTCGTTCATTATTCTGGACTTGGCCCTTTTTACGCATGTGTTTTTGGTAGGTAGGATACTAATTTCCTTGCCAAGGAGGTAGCTACTTCAATATAAAACTTTAGGCACCTTATAATTTTAATTACAAGGGTAATTTAAGATTCGGTTAAATAATAATAATAATTTATTCGCATTAAGTGTGGTTGTTTGTTGTAAAGTGAGCGTTATTTGAAATACCTATCGAATTTTATTTCTTAAGAACGTCTAAGTACTTGTATCGTAAACGTATATATGTATATGTACTTGTTTAACTATAGGTAAACAAGGTTATTATCAAGGAACATATTTACCGAAATAAAAAGTTCTCTATAATAATTATATTCGGCTGTTTTTGCTAACCTCGAATAATTGCATGGACTTCAAAACATAGTTTACTTAAGATTTAATAAAAATATGATAAAACGAATTTAATATTTCATCACTTATATTACCAAAATGATTAAGACCCTTTCCATGAATGGTTTCCGTTCCAATACTCGCAGCATGTATGTACATGGCCACTTCAAAAGCGTCACAGACACTCTGAAAACATCAATCATTTGGAGTTATACTAGACCTCCGACCTCCCCTTTGATGACCTCCGTGTTCGAGTGACTTGCACAGTTGCACACCAGATTTCATGGTGTCGCCATCTCCGAAGGCCGGGTCAAACTAACTTTTTTACATTATCTAGGTCTGAAGTATTTGTGGTACTGTCGTCATTCCCAATTTCCATAACACAAGTACTTTAGGATCAGAGCAACATATGTCACATCTAATATGTATTAAATACAACGTAAACAGTGGCCCATTTGCTACGACGTAAGCATTGAATTTTCCTTTATTAGTTCTACAGATTTATTCAGTTTGAAATTAAATATATTATATTTTTATCGAGTTCTTAGGTTTTCGCGATTGTTACACATAGGAAATGAAACTATTTTTCCGGATTTAAATCGCGTATATTTGTTTTTCAAACAAACCGACGTTTCGGGTCCTTTTCAACCGTGACCATGGGACCTGTAAAGGGCCCGAAACGTCGGTTTGTTTGAAAAAACAAATATACGCGATTTAAATCCGGAAAAATAGTTTCATATTATATTTTTTTTATTATAATTTTAAACCAATAGGTTAGGTAACATTTCATTACGTTATATATAATATTGATTACATTAAAAAAACGCTCGAGAAGGTACTTACTCCAAGAATATCTCTGGAGCCACCTATTTGAAACATTCTGCTGACCGATATTGTCTTTTTCACATAATTTATGACGCTTATAACAACCAGTACTACGGCCCATGTCCAAGGTATTCCTTTGAACCATGGATATATATTATTCCAAATTAACTAAAAATTCAATAAATAATATATTAACTAGATTACGTAGCAGTAAAAAAAGTTGCAACTTACTGTGCGCTTCGAACTTAGAGCATACAACTCTAATCTGCCGTCCATTAACTTAAACGCGGCTGTGACAAAAGGTCAAATAACCATTATAAATAGAGAACAAAATTCTCCTTCAAAAACCGTTAAAATTAGTTAACGTGTTCGACTTATCGGAACTTACCCCAAATTCTAAAACTGGGTTATGGATTTTTCTGATATCTCAAAAAAATATTTTGTCATTTAGCCCGCGTTTTAGTTGGCGGACGGCAGTAATGCTGGTTTCACACGGCCTGTAATGTCATGGGCCGCGCTGCACCACGCGATTGTGGCGCAATGTCGCCCGATTTGTACGGGTAAGCTCGCGTAGCGATGGGACGAGTTGTATTTTTTTCAACTCGAGTGGTCGTAACTGCTAACTCAAATTGTATCTCGAGTTAACTCGACTCGGTGTCTGACGGAGCAACCGCGAGTCGCGAGTAGAACTCGAACCGACGATTCACCGAGTTGGGCACGATGCGCGTGAGCGTGCCCTGAAGGTCGCCGAACCGACCGAGTGAGAGCGGATAGCCGGATGCTGTATGAATGAAGATATTCGACACGGCGGAAACTGCACCAAGCTAGCTCGAGTTCACAAAAAGCAGCTCGAGTCGACTCGTGGGAGTAACTCAAGTTAATTAACTCGACTCGTCCGTCGATCGCGACTCGAGTGTGCTCGCACCGAACGAGTAGCCGCTACGCATTGCGCTGTATGAATGAACGGCGGCGGCGGGGCGGGTACCGAGCCGAGTTAGCTCGAGTTCATAAATTTGTAACTCGAGTTGACTCGTTGTGGGAGTAACTCGAGTTAAGCGAGTTAAATAACTCGACTCGCCCATCGCTAAGCTCGCGCCACCGCCCGGCGAGTGCAGGCCGCCTCGTGTCGCGTATAATCGGGTGTGTCGAGAGCTGTAGCAGCTCTAGTCTGGTTTAAGCTGTCATGTGATGAACACACATGTATTCTGCAGCCATTTCTGTGTTATACAGTGGATAGAACTTACTTAAGAACCAGAAAAAAACACGCTGCTGGGTGTCACTCAACTAGAGAGGTCGAGATAATAAGATTATATTGAATTGAATATGCGTAGTTTGCTTTACCAGTCAAATAAAAAATGATCGCCAAATGCACTATTGCCACTCTGGGCCGCGTGTTGGACTGTTGCGTGGCTCTCACGCCGCGCCTCCAAAGTGACCGGCATAACGAAAGTCAGCTTAAGGCATCAACTAAGTGAAGTTTACGGAATTTTGAAAAATAAATTTAACTTAAATGTGACAGAGAGTAGGTACCTATATATAACTCACAACTCCGTTTACACCGTAGGCATGGAAGCGAATTAGGCAAGCGCCTGTTTCAAACTCGGTCGAGTAGCGAGGCTAATAAGGGTGACAATCAACCGAGATTCAACCTTTATCAAATTGAAATAAGTTTCACTAGCAAACAAGCCTTTTCTCTTTATAATTAATTAATAATAAAAATATTGATGTAACTTGAAATGCTTACCCTCTTGTGTCGTACTTTCTCTGTCAGCATGTATATCCATATTATGCACCACTCAATAATTACAAATACTATAAGTGGTAAGTTTATTTTAAATGCGTAGTCCGAGGAGTGACGTATAACTTCTACACTGCCGAATGAAGGAAACAGGGCATTACAAAATATTGTTCAGTAGAACCTCTACATTGCGTCATGAAATGCTGCGAATCAATGCATGAAAATCGCTTGTTTGATCTACTGTGTGTGTGAACCCACAGGATTACACCCACGCACCCGCACTATGGCTAGAGGTGAGGGTGAAAATCTGTAAGCGCGATGCGGCTCCGTGTGGTCTGGTTGGATAAGTTGTAGCAGTAGCGCTCTTTGTGAAAAAGTTCGCCCAGTGAAGTACTGACACCTTACCTATAGATGACGTCATGCAGTAATGTGAGCATTACTGCGTTCCGGTTTTGAAGGGAACTGGGAACTGGTACTAGTGAAATTACAAGAACATGTGACGTGTCAACTTATGTCTACGAGAGATGTGCTACGCAGTGCCCTTCAGTTCTTAGCTATTTAAAGCTCTGAGTGGCACTGCATGGATGTTCGCTGATGATGGACTGGAACCTACACAACTGTTCGTCCCGTCAATTGGTATCATAAAAAAAGTAAAAGACCATATTTTCATACTCACTAGAAATAATTATACGGTGGAGTGAGGTACATTGTAGGATAAGTACCATCGAAAGTTTCCTTGCAGACGTATGTTTTACGCTGGCTAACTAGTTGTACGCCGAGTGAAATTTTTAACCTGAAAAACATCGTTTAAAGACTGTTACCGTTGTCAGTTTTGTTGATTATTGAGAAGCGAAACGTTTGGATGAAAGAGGGTAATGTGGTTTATTAACTTAATAAGTAATGTTGCAAATAGTCCTTTTTAGGGCACATTTACCCTATCTGTTTATTAGTCACTGCCTTTTTAATCGGTCGTTTCGGCCCTAACTTTTTGACTACAATAGCAAAAAATCCAAAAATTACATCGGAAATATGCATCATAATAATTATGAATATTATAATGGCCCACTGATAAAGATAGTTTGTAAAATTTTCTGGATTGGCGTTATTTTTTAAAATTTTCTGGGTAAGCAACGCTCTTATGGAGAGTATCCGACATACTTTAGATAGGTTTTTTTTCTCTAACGCTGTAATACCTAATATTTTGTATGCTGGCGATTAAGATGAAAACTAAAGTTAACTTCGTTCGCGTTAGTCTGACTAGCCTACTAGTAATTATAAAATTTCATCTTGCATTTGTCACTGAATAAGGAAATCCGTAAATATAGGAGGTATACAGCCTCTCATAATCAGACATTGCAAATAACTAACTGTGTTAAATTTCTCCATGCATGAGGCTGTGTTCCCACTGTTCTGAATACTGGCTTAGTTGTCATTTGTTCATCTAGTAGCAATAAACCAGACTCTAAAGATGCATAAGGCTGTACAAACAAAAATAAAGGTAACCTGAAAACTATATTAGAGTAGAGTGCCAAATTTCGTCAGCTCTAGCGCATGTGGCGCCCTAAGGTATAATCAATACCCTGGCGCCCTCTGTCGGCACGCGATCAAAATAGAAGACATAAATAGTTATAGTTTTCCTCAGTGATTGGAAATTAGGGTGTAAAAATGATGTTGGGTAGCAATAGCCCGTTTACTTCGTTTGCGCCGCGACAGTCGCAAGCTCTTTGGAGGCGTCTCGAGACGCCCCCCAAGACCTTGCGCATGAGTGAACAAGGGTAAAGCAACTGCGCCAAACGTGGTCACCGTAGTCGTGGAGTTTGATGATGTTGTAAAAGCAACCTCGACTACAGTAGCTCTGCCGGAATCACAGAGTAGACAGCCCGTAGCAATATGCGAATGTGTAATTTCTTACAAAGAATACTAGACCGTATTTTGTAATATACTTAAAATACGCTAATGGCGCGCATAACTGCAAGTCGGCCTTAGATCACCACAACTGATAGCTCTCTACCTTCTAATTTTCATATCTGTATTTACTCTACATGACAGTATAGAATTATATATACAAAAGCATTAAGGCTATTAGCATATGTGCATAAAAGTTATTATTGACAAGAAATTGTACGCACATCGTTCAACATGGCTGCGTCAATTTGTTTCAAACTTGCGTTGTACGCTTTTAAGTTGTTGTCCCTGAAAACGTAACGCGATATACATACAGTCTGCTAAGCTAATCAAATATTTTCTTGAACAGTTTTATACTATATTACAAAAGATATGCAAAATAATTAACGAACCTGCAAAATTCGAAGGGTAATTGCTTATCAGAGACCGCCGCCAACACATAAACAGCAGTAATGGCACCCATGACCGAACAAGTTATGGCTCGAGTCAAAGCGTTTATGCATATTGCTATTCCAACACCTGCCAAAGTAAGCATTATTATTTGGGGTTAGAGAAAAGTGTTCAATACACTTTTCTCTCGATCGATAAAAATGTCCATGGCTGCTGCTGCTGCCATGGACTTTTTTGTTAATTTACTTAAAGCTCTTTGCTGAAAATTTAGTAAGTCATTTATATAAATAGATAATCCTACATCATTATATGTATTTAATTATTTTGTAATTGAGTCTGTGGTAAAAACACATGGAAACACTTATCTTTGTGCTGACCGTGCCTACTTTCATACGGCTATCTAAGACCAGACATAAGTTAACATGCTTGTTGTACATACCTAAAATATTACTGTCTCACAGTGATCAATTTTCAACTTTTAGGTGGACGAAAATATTGTACCCTTAATATTGTTTACTTTTATGTATCAGCTTTCTTTCTATTTATTATTATTTATATCCATACATATATCCATTTTCAATAAGTCATCATCATAAGTCATAAGTCATCATATTAGTGGAAAGTTGCTCATCGAAAGACAATTTCTTGTTGATTTTCAACTATACGAGTTGCAGTATGGTCAAGTACATCTTGTAGTGAAACTTCAGCAGATATATCGGTTACAGAAATATTAGATGGATAACATTTAGCTTTTTCCTCTATAAGTTTATAGTACGGTGGATACAGATGTTTTAAAGATTTACGTGCAGCTGACGCTCTAAGTTCTGTGTAATCACGAGTCAACTTTAACTCGGTAAAGAGTGACAATGCATATTTTGCACAGCCAATTTTGATACTTTTTCAGGATTTTTTTTATATCCCGCCCAACTGTTATCCAATTCCTGGAGGCCGATGCACAAAAGAAATGCAACGTTTTAAGTAACGTATTATGTACTTATTTTTCCAAAGTTTCTAATCTTAGTACTCCTAATATGTATTGTAACAACGTATTTTTGGAGGCAGCAGAGTTAGGAACGACGGGGTGGGTTTTTTAAGTTCATTAAATAAATCATAATTTTTAATGTAATGGTGCTAACCATTACCTAAAAAATAAAAAGTTTGTTCAGCGAGGGTAAATAAAAAATTTACTTATTATAAGGGCAATGGTATGGCTGAACTTATAAATACAAAATTTGTATGTTACTTTATGTTCCTCTAAAGATATGGGACGTAAAATAAAAAATATTCCATCTCTCAAAAACTATTTTTTTTCCTTACACTTAATATATATAACTCTAATTAAATAGGTTCAAAATATCACCGATACCTTCCTGTATATGCACCATTTTTAAAAAATAATGTTTAATAGAAAGGATTCATACGTGTACATAATTCATAATTGGTGCTGTTTTTCTCCACTACCCTCTATTTAAGAAAAATGAATTAAATACATACAGCTAAAAGCTGTGAATTGATCACTTTGCGCCTGGTCTAAGTGGCCAATATGGAAAGATTGCAATTTTATGAATAAGGTATCTAACTTAGGTACTTACTATAGGTACTCACCATCAAACATTGGTATTATACGAAAAGCTCGACCTGGCCCGCTGATGCTCCATTGGCCGAGATACACTTCAAAGTGCCGTAGAGGATTCCCCAAGATACCAATTGCCGCCGTCAATGTTAGTAGGAAGACAACTGGTAATAGTAATCTTTATTATTTGTAGGTAGTGGGTGAAATTTTATATGTATATTTTTAGCACAATCTCGCAATGTGACTTTACTAAACAGAATGTTTTGTACTAATAGTATTGGGACTCAATACGACTACGACAAATATTCTATTCAAATCTCCTATGTAACATTATGGTAAAAGCAATATAATAAAACAAAGAATTGAATCTCGGTAAAAGCGAAGCGCGTTACTGAAGTGTCTAATTCTGCAAAATTTATAACCGCCTATCTCCAGTGAATCGAATTAAGTTTTCTAAATTCTCTGTTGTACGCAGAAATTCTACTATATTAAAAGAATCTCGTCCCGTGTGTGGCTAAAGTGAAAAATTGAAACATGATACGCACAGAAACTGCCTTTAAGCGCAATGGCAGTGACCCGACAGTGCATAGCCAAAAGACAGCAGATGCTATGGGCGGCATTGCGTAGGCGTCGACGACCCATTGATTTTTTGAGGGACCCGGCGCCAGTCGCTGTGTCCATACCCGGTACATGTGTCGTGGACCATACCGTTGACCAATCGCTCATGTTCTTATATGAAAATGTACAATTAGTGTAAGAATATCTATCATAATTGAGCATGCAGAAAAAACTGGATGTTGCAGATTCATATTACAAATTTGCTTACATCTACTTCTCGTGTCACTGGAGCTGTAAGAATGGTTTCCACCGAAAGATGAGCCATGGCTTTTCAGTTACGTGTAATTGTATACAATATTATTTACTAGTGAAATTCTAATTTTATGTATCAAGTTTTTTTCCCAAAATTTTGATATGTTCGCATTGCATTGGATATAAAAACAAAAGCAAAAAAGGTGAAGCAAAATTTTACGTAATTGTTGAAATACAGTGTTATTTTACTTTCTCTTCAATTCACTATGAATTTCATTTGCGAAAATAAATCTTTACATTCTGTCACATCCATCTGAATCGGATAAAAAAAACCTTACGTCACCAACTTCATTCAAGACAAATGGCAATGTGTGGACGCAAAGAGCATAACATATTCCTAAATAAATTGTTACCAAATGATTTTATATTTATTACAGTGAGCATAAATTATAAATCATAGTTTATACACATAAAAAATCATTTCAAGCTAAAAACTTCCGCGAGCATTCTTGAGCAAGCGCGAGAATTCCGCGGATATTTTTGGCTCGTATTTAGTTTGTAAACAATTGACCATAAAGTTCATTATGCTATGTACAATATCGTTACAAAAATTCGCTTCCATTCCGTTCCGCTGCAATATAAATTAAGCCTAATATGATAGTCATTAAGAACATAATATTTGTGTTTTCAACGCCACCTGATGGCGATGAGAGAAAGAGCCCCTACATTATTGAATGGTGACACCTCCACAACATTCTTCTACTCTCCGGGGCGCAGCGAGACGTCGGCTGTGACGTGACGAGTGACGTGTACCGTAGCTTCCAACGTTCCAGAAGGCACTCTCTCATATTTCATCGAAGACACCACATCGATTGTTCGTGTTCATTACAATTGTCTTTCGGTCGTCACATTATTTTAAATTATGTAAAGGATCGCATTAAATATCCTAAATGCAAATTAAATAAATCACTTCATTGAAGAGTCTCACCTGTCCCGAAGCTTGTTACACACGCAACCCAAAACCACATAATATAATCATTATTTTATTGTTTAGGAACAAATCATAATAATTATTTATTTTGGGTTTTATGCAAACCATGCGAACGGTAAACCGCCACTTACGCATTTCCGAATTCTCGCTAATAATATCTATTCTATACAAATATTCGTTGTGTTAATTTTTGTTTAATTACACAATCACACATCCGCTGCAATATATTACGCGCCTTGCGCTAAATACGGCTGCGCAAGCATTGTGTGGGTACCAAAGAAATAGATGTGGCTGTGGGTACAAAGCTTGCATAGAGTTACATGCTCAGTTTCCGTTGTGGCGGAACGGAATAGAAGCGAATTTTTATAACGATATGGTACGTATGTACATAGCATAATGAACTTTACATAAGTTTGGCAACGTAACGAACTAGATACGCAAACACAGTCGCGCATCTTTCGGAGAATTCTTGCGCATTCACGGGAATGGTCGCGCATTCGTGTGAAAATCTGCAGCTGCTGTCGGCGATGTTTAGAGAATGCGACACTCACAATTCTTTGTACACACGCCAGCACATCAAGCCACACATTGACGTACCTTGTTCCGTTGCATTGGAGGCGATTTTCGAACAAAAATGTGTAGTCTGCTGTGCCGTTGTCCGTATATCTAGCAAGTTGCAGCGTTAAATGTCTACGAAATAGGTTGTGTATGTACCGTGCCAGAAAAATTAATCATTGATTCAAATGAAAAATAGATTTATTTGGTGCAGAAAATTTGATTTTAATTTAATACTAATTGTGTCTGCTAAGACCATTGTCACTTTCCGTTATGTAGATTAAATCTTTATAATTAAAAGCATATTTTAATTTAGAAAAAACCTTTATTAATCATATATATACAACGCTCATATGTAAAATACATTTATGCAGAAATCAAGATAACATTATCCTTTTCATTATATAGTTATCAATCACAACACTTTTTTAAAGGACCGCGACACAAATTTGTTGCCATATCCCTTTTAGTGATGCATTAAAGCCTTAGTTGGAAATAATTTGACATCGTCTGACGACGAACCCGAAACGTATGCGTTAGAACATGACAAATGAATAAAGAGTTACGCTTAGTTGTGCGGTGTAATAAGGACTATGATTATTTTATTACACAATATACCCATTCACCGTCATAACAATAACAAAGGCTTCAAAAAACATAATACTTATTATAATATACTATTCTTATGTTTAGTATTCTTTAGTCCTGTGTAGGTTACACTTACTCATTGGTTGACAAAAATGTCAAAAAAGTCTAATTTCCGCAGTCACATTTTTATTTAATAGGTCAACGTATTATGAGCTATGGGGGCGGTGGCGGCGCAGGCGCTTGCGGTGCCTCTTGCGGTAATGCGAAGTTGGTAATTAAGTCACGCACGGCCGGCCACAGTGTGCACTCTGAATGAGATTGGCTGAACTCTGCGAACCTGCAAAGAGGGTAATCAGGAAATCATTTCAAGCTATATGACGTGTATAGAAAGAACAATGCCCAAGTTCCATACATTACTAGACTAGCTAAAAATAAAGTTGACGACCATCAATCGCGTATAGGGTTTTATTTGTATCTCCACATAGTTTCTAATTATACTGGATGAAAAATTGATTTAAGCAACATTTTTCTTTTGAGGTTATGTTAATAATGAACATTAATAATATGTTACTTTGTAGTACAGAGTTAAATGTTATAAGATGCTTGGGTACACATTGAAAGTAATACTTAAATTCACTATCACAAATGAATGAGATAAAAATGGTGCAAAAGATACGATAAAAAAATACTTTAAAAAAGTTGAATGCATTGTTAGCATTTTTTTAAACGCAGTACAACTTAGATTTTGATATTTAATATGAAGTCACGTACACTTGACATGATTCCTCTAACAATGAGACAATTTTCTTCTTGAATATTCTGAGAATAAGTTGAGAGTCAAGTTCAAGTTAATGAAGACTTACGTACATAAGACCATTGCTCATCGATGTCACAATTATTGTAACTTTGGTTCGTAATTATCTCAACGTTGAAAAAATTCATGGCAAGTGTAAACGAAGCACTGTCAGATTAGGCGATTTTTCGCCGTTTAGAATACTTCAAGGGGTCTGCGACTAAAAAATTATGGGCGACTCGGCGATATTTAGGCTATGTTTGAAATAGGAAAAGGAGATTTTAGGCTACTTAATAAAATGTCTGGGGAATTACAAATTTTATTGGGTATTTGAGTATTTCTACGTGTGGGCAATTGGGGAAATAAAAGAGTTCATATTTCCCAATGTCCGGCAGCAAACAGAATTGTTTTTTAGGGATTTTATGGCTTGGGTGAATATCGGCTCCTTAACGCACATAAATTGGCGAATTAACTTCACAAATATCTGGCAACACTGAAACGAAGCTTAAAATAAAATGTCAAAACGTAAGTTGTATTAAGTTCAAAAACGAATGATACAATGCCTTTTACGTATTAACTATCTTTTTTTAGTTCAATTTCAAAGTTTCATGAATTAAACTTATTTTATAACACATATTTCAATGAATATTTAATTTTCAACCGGTCGCGACTAAAAAATTTTTGAGTCCAAAATGGGCATTGTTCTTTGATTTCGATTGAAAAAACGGAATTGAAAGCAATCATCAAATACCTGATACTAGCGGATTATTACAGAGTTGATTTCAGGTGGTGTATATTTTATACATATCTATGTTATCTAGGTACGACTTACCTTTTGAGATGTAAATTGACGGCGATCTGGTGCGGTTGCGAGTCGCGCTTATCGGCCAGCTGAGTCACGTTCAGTTGCATGTCGTACACTAGCGGGAGAACCAGTTGAGTGTCGCCGCGGGTTAGGCAGATCTGCAATGAAATATGTACATATACTGCAACATTGGCTTTTGTTGCAATAAAGTAGGTTAAAAATTACAAGACAATCATTCAGTTTTTTTTATATCTGTAGTAAGTGACACGCCTGTCCATAACAATTGCAGTGCCAGTCAGAGCTTTAAATCACAAAGATCTGAAGGGCACTGGTACTGCACCCGTCACCCTGAAACATAAGTCCCACGCGCCTGTGATTTCACCAACACCCATACCCTTCAATACTGGAAAGCAGTAATGCTCACATTACTGCTTGGCAGCAGAAATAGGGAAGGTGGCTGTACTTCCCTGGACGAATTCTTTCACAAGGCGCTCGCTCTACTGCTACCAATTTTATTAAAATAAAAATAAGGAAACATTATTCAACAAACATATAGTACTTACAAAGAATAATATCTTGTGTTTAGCCAGCAGTACAGCAGGTTGTCCAGCGGGGACGATTTGCGGGGCAGCAGGTGGGATGCGCAGGGCCCATTGGAATTGCCATAACGCTGATACTATAGGCACTAGGTCTGCTCGCATTAGAGCTACAAGTGATGGAAGAGCGGCATTAGGTGCACCCCAAACGCGACCCCATCCGTGAAGAGCTGTAGCCCGGTATGGAGCAATTGCGACACGTTGCTCGAAAAATTTTTCCATCACCTGTGAATGTTATATCTTAATACAAATATCAATATAATAAATAAATAATAAATATTAGACAACATCACGTACGTTGCTCCGATCCGAGAGTAAGTAACTAAAACCCTTGTGTTATGGAAATCGGAAACAACGATGGTACCACAAACACTCAGATCCGAGACAATATAGAAAAGCTTTTCTACATTTAGAACCCAGGACCTCAGGTGTCGCCATCACACCATGAAAACTGGTACGTAAGCCACTCGACCACGCAGGTCGTCAAATATGCTGTTAGCACAAGAATATCGCGTCAAATAGTAAATACTAAGTCTAAGGGTCTATGTTGACCATTCGGTAATAATTAGTGGTAAGTTAATAGGATGCTTATTTACCTAGGATTCGGTTGCTCGGTAACACGAAATGCGCTTTTGTATCGAAAAAATATTGTGACACTGGGATTGACGAAATTATTAAATTTAAAATTGAAGCAAACTAGAAGTTAAAAATGTTATTTAACAACTTTATGTAACATACATTAACTTTTATCACACATAGAAAATGAAAAATGTAAACATTTTGGACATCAAGAAAAAATTTTGTTGTTTAAATATTTTTAACCGAAACCATCACATATCATCGTTTAGTTTAAACTTAAGGACTTCTAGCTGTTCACAGTACAGAGATCCAGTTGATATTATTCCTGGTTATCATCAGACTTTTAAAATTTACAGTGAGCCAAAATCTTACGTATTTAAAACATAAAAATCGTAACATATCAAGCCATTCCGGCAAAAAAAAGAAAAAATATATTTTAAGAGGTTGCTTCTATATTTCGACTTCACGGAAAAAAGTGGACTTTAGGTATAAAGGCATCCGAATTACTTATTTTATGAGTACTAATCAATTAGAGATGTCCTAATGCTTTACCGCTTCGATTTCTTATTACAATCGACATTATTTATGAAAATGTTTTAATTGTGAATGTGAGCGGGTTCACATTCACAATGAATTAATAATTAATGTTACAGAGGAACCAAGTATTGATTTTTGTTCACATCGTGAAGAATTCATTATATTAACACGTAGAATTTACTATAAATATTTTTAATTTATTAATTTTAATATATTATTCAATATAATTTATTATTATTAGACAGGTAGCAAAACCTATATAACTATACAACGGAGAAATCAACTTGAATAATCTTCTTGACATAATCTGTGGACTCAATAAAATTATCGGAACTAAACAGTATGTCGCTTTACTACAGTAAAGAAAAATCAGCGTCCATGAAGTATTGCATTTTTTGTCTATGGTTGTCTATCAATAATTATTGAACTTCATAGGCATGCTTATGTCAAAAGTAAAATAATGGTTAGACAAAGTGTAGTGATAATACAAACCTGCAGGTCATCAGCGGACCACTCCTTGTTATCAGGCAAAGGCGTGAGTTGCAGATGTAGCGACTGCATGTGCTGTGGGTGCAGCGCCACACGCGCCGCCAACCCTGCTCCGTCACAACGGAAGGTCAAGCTAGTCGCTTCCACGGAGACCATTGTCAGCTGGAACAATAATTTGTAGCTTCTGTTCGTTTTGACGTCTAGTGGATCATTTCAAAGAGGCTCAATCACTAAGCGGAAAGGAAATATCGCACACAAAAAATAGCAAAAGTGGCAATCTCGCTTATCTTTTCGATAAATGCCCTTCTGATCAGTCATCAAATGTAACTTTAGATACCTTTACACTGAGTATAATCTTGCCATTTATTTACAATCTTTTACCGAAAACTGAGGAAGTTTCCAATGAAATGACCTATGAAATGAAGATTTTACTCTTGTGACACTTATTTTATTTATTTACAATAAATTACATACGCTAACAGATCAATATCCAAACGCAATTGTAATCTTACGGCTAAGTGGATAGTATTTAAATATATACAAAACAATGTCATTAAAAAATACAATTGATACAAGAAATCAAACAAAATTTAAAAATTACATGAAATTAAATACATTGTAAATACATTATTGTTATACTATTACTGCAATGTAATTATTACTATAAAGACTGGAATCTTTTTTTAAGTCACATAATACTGCTGTCTCTAGTCAAAGTTTCAAGGTAGCGTCCTAGGAAACTACGAATTTCAGTTCCGAGCATGTAAATATGTCCAACGAGGAGTCAAAGAGAAGCATTTGGTTAAGACATTTAAGCGCTCTTGGCAGAGGGGCCAACTTACTTACCTTAGATCGTGTAGCACGTATTGCAAACAACCTTTTTCTGTGAGTTCGTACCAAATTGAACCTAGGCACCACAAAACCGATCATCGATAACATATCTGGGTTCTACGTGACTCCACGCACCAGACGAAATATATGGGTTACCAGAGCTAAATTGCGTCTCACTTTCAGTGATCTGTAATTGACCATACCCAAGATGAAGGTATTTGGATAAAGCAGGGGGGGACACTGTTGTGGCCGGTGTGCAATATCAAAAGAATGCATTCTTTTGGTTATTATATTACTTATATATCATATATATAAAACTGTTTAGATGTACCGTGTTGTAATATTGTGTCATGTAGAACAAAATATTATTTTTACGGTAAGGCGCTATATTTGAATCCGGAGTGAAAGATTTTAGAATAGAATCTAAGTCTAAATCTAGTATGACGCTCAAGATGAAAATAATTTTACTATAGTCTGTTTCAATCCAGTTTGCGGTAAAAATAAACACACCGGTTTGGTTGAAATTCTAAAGCAACCAATCAATAAATGGAGTCAATCAACACTTTCACGTATAATTCGAAGATTTCGATTTGATATCTCATCACTTTTCCAATAATATGCATTTGAATAACAACTTAAAATCGTATTTGAAAAAGAAAAAGTTAGTCCAAAATTGAGGTTGTTTTTTAAATGTATGTTATGTTTTAAGTATCGACTGTCTATGGTTGCATAGTGCTGTACAAAACAAAATTATTCGGTTCATTCAATTAGTTTTTGTAATCGATTAATAAATCGAATATTTCCGTCACAATCACAAAGTATCTAAGTAGAAGGATTTGAAGGAAGATTTAAAATTTAAAAATTTCGGAAATTTTAAATTTCCTTTCATAGGTCATGTAAGAAAAACCACTAGTATTATAAGTGCACCATGTACTAATATCACAGTATAACAATCTTAGTATAAATATATCACAGTATAAATATCTTCCCTTAATACTACACTCAGTATCGAATCACAAATTTTTTGTTAGTAATCAGCAGCGAAGTCGCAAAAAGAACTGTTAGTCATTACAACTGATTCAATTAAACAAATCGATTTATTCAATTAATTAATTGATTTGTTGTTGGCAATACAATTGGCCGTCACTAAACTGTCAGTGACCAGTTTGTTTACTTTTTCTGTATAATGGATTGAAACCAACTATATGAGTTTGATGATGAAAATAATTTTACGCTGTAGTATTAATTCCTCCCTTCTACTTTCAAACGACCATCCTAATTTTTTATGATAAAATTTAAAATGACCATTCCCTAGGGAATAAAAAAAAAGAAAGTCAATACCTCTCCGCAGGAAGCAGAATAGGTGCAATAAAAATAATATTTAGCATAATCACTTTTGTATTGACCAAAGATGGCTCTATAAACCAATAACAACAAATAGTACATTATAAAGTATACTTACGTAGTCTTCCTGTTGTACAAATCGTTGCAACGTGCGCTTCATGTAAACGCAAGCGAGGAACCGCTGCAACGGTGCCAGTGAAGGCCCCGGTGGCGCCCCTGGCGGAGGTTCACACGGCGTACATAACGCTTCTAACTTGGACACTGACAGTGGCGTAGCTGTGGCGCCAGCCCACGCTCGTCCACCTACTAACACTCGAGACCCGGTAGTTGAGCTTGGTTGAGGCCCTGACGAAAAGTTTAGTTGAGTTAGTTAAAAGTACAAAATCCAATTTTGCCTTGATTTGAAATTATTTGCAGTTTTTTTGTTATTTACGCTAAGAATACTTGGCTGTCATAGACAACAAGTTAATATGGGATATTTAATACACTGTCACTGTAGTTTATTTTATCTTGGCTCTGCAGTGACTCAAAGATAATAAGTACCTTTATGGTCAAGATGATGCCTAGGCGAAGGATGATGTCCCGGTGAAGGTCGCGGCAGTGACGGTGAGGCGGGCCACGCGGTGAACGGTGATGTGGGAGGAGGATGAGGCGACGCAGCAGGGGGTGCGTGGGGGGAAGGGGCGAGTGGTGAGGCGGGAGAAGCGCAAACGCCCCCGCCTGTGCCAGCGCCAGGAGCGCTGCCTGCGCCACCCGGTGGGGATGTCAAGTTGAAGTTGCTACCCAACTGTGAATTATACACAGCGTATTATAGTTGTCACAATGCAAGAGGCCCAATTTGACAGCTAAGGAAGACGATAGATAGTATGTAACTTTGAACGCAATCAACGAAATAGTAAACAAAGAATTATTAACGTATTAGTTTTAAAAAAGTACATTAATTTTAGTGAAGCATTATATAACATGATTCAAGTCTTATTATCGCCCGAATTCTAAAATAAAATGCAATTTTGAGTTAGTTCGAAACGTCTTAAGAACTCAAGTTTTTACTGAATTTTATGTTTTTATTTTATGTTTTTTTAAGCATTGAGGTGGCATTATTGGACGAACTCTTTCACAAGGAACTCTACTGCTACTTTTACTCCAGCGAAATTCGTTGTAGAATGTTTAATAACAACATGTCGCTTGGCACCCAAAGATTGCATAGGAAAAGAACAATTTTGTTTTAATACTCATTATTTATGCTTGTTACCTAATTGAAATTAAAATATAGTTAATTGGATTATGTAGAAGTAATATTTAACATGAACCTAACAGTTTAATATGAACCGAATAGTGTTCAAAAATGTAATTACTTTATTCATAAATCACATGTATCAATTCAATAGATACTTTGTAAACTTAATAATAATTGGCTAGTTAAATATTACTTTTACATAATAAGTAGTGGTAGATGAAAAAATACAAAATTGAAATATTTTATTCATTCAGCGTGTATTTCCAATTCTGAATTTGAATTACTATTCGAACTCGAATGTTTGCAATCTCTTCCTTCAAAAAAAATATCTTTAGGGTAAGTAAGACACAGTTTTATAAATAATTATATACTGGAAATTTTTATATTATTTTTAGGTAATTTGAAACTGCTATTGAACAAAATTCATCACAGACATGACTTCAAGATTAGTATTATTAATAGCTTAATCGAATTTCGGAAAAAATATTGAAATTGTGGTATGTGTGAAACTGTCTGAGGTGAAAACCCTAAAAATGGTACGCCTAATATAATAATGATATGGTAAAATGGAATTTAGCTAGAGCATAAATACTAACATTTACATGTAGCCATTTTGTAAGACAAGTTTGGATTTTTATTGTTCTCTATTATAGGACCTCGATATAAATGACGAGCTCGGTGGCCCAACGGTTTGCAATGTGGGCACTGGATGAGGAGATCCCGGAATCAATTCTAACGGATTTTCGAACAGATAGATTCAAAGGGCCAATTCGGGAAGTTAACTTTTCTAAATTGGTTCTGATCTGGGTTTTCCGGGTTCTGGAGCACTAGAATGAATTCCGATGCTCTGGTATTCATAGTACAGGAAATTCCCTAGTTTGAGACCAGGTAATAGGTGTGGTTGTCTGGCACATTATTATTATTATTATTATACAGTCCTATCTGCATATTATAACACGTTTAGTGTAAAATTAATTATTATTGATTTTACAAATGAATTTTAACATAAAATTTTCTGTTTAAGACGCTGACAAGCGTCGATGACCTTGAGCGATAACGCGCCTACTATAATTCTATAATTCTACTCCAATAAGGTGGGGCCATACGCCCCGATGCGGTAAGAGTGTGGTAGTTACACCTTCCGCTTGATTTAACATAATATTGATTGCCGCTAACAGATGGCGTTGCACTTAAAATACTCGCATGCTATCAAACCAAAAAATATCAAAGTATATATGAACTGGACATGTTATGCAAACAAGAAACAACCCACACCTCGAGTGAAATTGAGTTATGTATTTAGGTAGAACACCAGACGTGTCCTTTACCCGCTCACAAAAGATTTTGGCAACATACCAAGCCAAAACGGAGAAAATAAAAATCGTTCAGGGTACCAACCCTAAATAAGTAACTTTTTAATAGCTAAAAAGAACCTTCCTGCTTAACTTCACATAATGTCTATTTTAAAATATGCTAAAAGGATCCATGTCACATGTCGAGCCCTCCTACGTAAAGTATCGTATGTCGAAATTGCCAAGTTTACAGGGGAGCGTTTCAAAGTTGTCCGTTTTATTTGGCAAAACCTCATTACTGACATAGAGCGATCATCTAACCGACATCTAGGATTTTACAATACTCTATGTGAGTAACGAGCTTTGCCGAATAAAACTGAGAAATGCTAAAGTCGCGTATTATGCTCATTGCAGTGAATTAAGAACTTTAAAACGCTTCCCTGTAAACTTGGCAATTCCGACATACTTTCGTAGGAGGGGTCGATGTATTGAAGTACTGTAGATCTTTGGCGTTTTCATTACGAAAACTATAACATGGTTCTCGTTAACTAAATAAAAAGATACATAATGTTTTCTATTTATTGCTATATAATATAAAAGTTTCCCTATATCGTTCTCACTGCTACAGTACATCGTTTGTCTCAAACAGAGATGCGCCGAGTACAAGTTTTACCGAGTAACCGAGTACCGAATATTACTCGGTTTAACATTTGCCCAGTCGAGTACTCGGCCGAGTTACTCGGTTCATTACAACCGGAACGCGATGATCCTAAAAGCCCCAGTTGCTCTAGAATTAGGCCATACCATACTGACCAGAGTATGTCAATGAAAGTTTATTGTCGCGAGAGCAGTCCTTTCCAATGGTGGGCAGAGCATAAAACAAAATATCCAAAACGGGCACAGTTAGCACGAGTGTTTTTATGTGCACTTGCAAGCACTGTGTATAGCGAGCGGCTATTTGCCGAAGCGGGTAATGTGTATGAAGAAAAAAGAAACAGACTATTACCCGAACGTGCAGAAAGCCTTGTAAATATTCCTACATCATAATTTGCCTTTGTTAAATTTTAAATATTAATAATGTAAACTTTCTTTTTAAATTACTAAATTGCTAGAAATTGTTACAATTGTCTACAATTTCTAGTAATAAATCTCTTTTGAATATTTTAAATATATTGTTGATTTTACTTTATTATGTCTATAGCATGAGAAGAGTACTCGGTTAAAATAAAGCATCACACTTTATTTTAACCGAGTACTCTTCTCATGAACCGAGTTATTCAGTCGAGTACACCGAGTACCGAGTAGCAAACGAGTACTCGGCGCATCTCTAGTCTCAAATAACTTACCTATTTATTTCTTCACACTGTGTTACAAAAATCTAATTAAATCGAAAGTGACATTTTGTGGGTTGGTTATAGTTTGCATAACTATGTCCAACTACATATATCGTCAGTATCGTGCTCGACGATAGACAGCCGATTACAATACAATATAAATTAACTTGTCAAAACAAAGGTCTGGCAACGTACCCCACGAACGCAAGCTACGTAGCAGAAGTTTTCAACGTTGCAATTTTACTAAATAATCAAGGACGCAAACAATAATTTCATTTTTGTTTTGAATACTTTGTGTTTTAGGTTCTAATCCAATCAAAAAATATAGTTTAAATTAAATACAGTTTTTGTATTACCTATGACAATAAGCAATATTCTAGGAATTTCAAGCTACACTTCAAGATATGTGTTACAGGATGTACTATTTTTAAAGTTCCACATGCTATGTTATGGCCTAAAAACTTACACAAAAACACCATCTTTAACACCAGATTGTGGGCTTCATCGCCATTGTATAAAAATTACGACCTCAGTGGCCCAACGGTTTATACTATAGGCGCTGGATTAGGAGAACCCGAGTTCGATTCCAGGCAGGACCAAATTGGGAAACGAACTTTTCTAAATTGATTCTGGTCTGGGTGGACCGGGAAGTGCCCCAGAGTGAATTCCGTTTCTCTGGTACTCATAATATATATATATATATATATATATATATATATATATATATATATATA